ATGCATGCCATTGGTCTTCATACCACCTGCCCACGTGGTGGCAAACCCATTTTAGAGTCAGACTCTTTGTGTGTGTGCTCTGTTGTGACTCATGTTACTCTTCACACTACCTCACAGGAAGCAGGGTCTGCTCAGAACCCTGGTTGGTCTTCTCTAGGGAAAGAAGCCAACAGAGCAGCGGGCAGAGCCAATCACTTCTCCAAGACTCAAACCATCTTCCTGAAGAACTGGGTCAGGGTCAAGTCACTATGCCCCTCTGATCACATTTTTTCAAGAATCTGGGCTTTTCCACTGTTAGCTCATAAAAACCACAGGCCAGATATTTGAGAGACAACTAGGGACAGAACAGAAAGGGGCAGGCTATAATCTCAAGTTTAAGAAAAAAAGGTAACCCTAGTAAAGGTCTAGTTGAGCTGCTGGTCAGCATGGGCTCCCTAGGACAGAAGAGCACATGATTTGGAGACAGGCAAACTGTGGGAACCCTGGTCAAAGGGTATCCCAAGATACTTTCCAGAAGCCCAGGCAAGCTTCATTTTCTCATAAAGCAAAGGAAAACAATCATCCACCATATCCCAGGATATGAGGGAGCAGATCAAAGTCAATGTTTGTCTAAAGGGATACTCTAGTGACATCATGAAGAAGAAAACAGGACCCAAAACATTTCAAACACAAAGAGCAAGTCAGTCCATTTTCAATACCCTTTGTCCTGAGTCAGCCAGGTGTGGTGGTGCATGTCTGTAATCCCAGCACTGAGGAGACTAAGACAGGAAGGCAGTTTGAGGCCAGCCTGGGTCTACATAGCAAGTTCCAGGCCTGAGTTGCATAGTAAAACCCCATCTCAAAAATAAATAAATAAACAGAAGCAGCAGCAGACAACCCAGCCTTTACACAAAGGGAACAGCACACACATTACTTTGTACATACATTGTTTGTTTTCCACTTAAAACCTACCCTCTGGCTGATGGAGTGGATCAAGTGGTATAGCACCTGCCTAGCAAATGAGTCCCTGAGTTCAAATGCCAGTACAAAAAACAAAAAAAAACAAAAAACCTTACCTTACCTTGAAGGGCATTCCCTATCAGTACATATAGATTGCTCCCCCTTTTTAAGGGCTATTAGGCTACACCCTGATTAATTTCACCTTTCTAATGGACACTCAGCACATTTCCTGCCTTTTTCTCAGTCTTTCATTTTTCATGTTGAGTTTATCTGTGGCATAAATTCCTAGAATGAAGTTAGGACTACACTTTGCCAGATATTGCCAAACTACCTTCTTAAAAAAAAAAGTTGTAAATATACACTCCCATCAGGAAGCTAACTAGAGTGCCTAAGAACAAGGGCATTTGGAAGGAATTTAAATTGCTCAGTTTTCTAGCTTCCCAGGAACTCCCATGCATAGCTATGTCTTTGTAGGGGATATGGCAATTTCTACCACTATCCCATGTATCCTCAACCAGAGCCAGAACTGGAAGTCAGGTCTCCATATACACAAGTCCACAGCTCTTTCCCCATCACCCTTGGCTACCACCTGGACTACGGTATGCCATGTTTCTGAACTAAAACCACAGCCAGTCTGTACATCTTCTGCCCAGGGCCAGGGCCCTGTAACAAGTTACTCGACCAAGCTTTTCACCCTGGGAATCCGTGAGCATCGACAGAGGGGCTCAGAGCCCACGGGCACAGCACATGTACTGAGCCAGGAGCCAGAGAAATGGCTCCCACCCCCTCTCCTAACAACCCAGAAAGTTAAGGCTGAGCACATTTATATGCTGGGGAATTAATTCATGACTTAAGAAAAAAAAAAAAAAAAACCTATCACACCTCCATATATATCACGCCCTTTATGTATCTTATTCCTTTAAGTTCTCACATTTAATGCTGCAGTGTAGGTCTCATGATTCCCACATTACAGACGAGGAAAATGAAGCTGAGGGAGGTTACATAACTTGCCTAAATTCACAAAGCAACTAAGCAGGGTCAGGATTTGAACTCTGCCTATCACCAAAGCTCTGACCTCATTCTTCCCAGCTCCAAATATGGGATTCTCTGAACCACAGGCCCTGATGCCCAGAGGGACAGCTAGGATTCCATTCTGTTGTCACCAGAGGACCTGAGCCCAGGGGCTCAGCACACCAAGGGTTAAGGCAGAGAAGCAGTGACTCTCTGGGGCTGCACAAAGGGAAAATGCACTTCCTGCCCCTGCGGGCAGAGATGCTGTTTTATGCTCAGTAAATTAGGACGTTTGTTTAATTAAGAGGACACTCAGATTTTGTTATTCTAAATATTTTTGGAACATGATGCTTGGGAGGAAGCTGTCAAGGCAAGGATTTTTTTTTTTCCCCTTTGCTTTGGGTTTCTCTTTCGCCCCGTCCAAGAGAAGGAAAACAACAGCCAACCCCTCCTCTCCTTTTAAAATAAAGATGTCAAGCTGGTAAGGATTGTCTTAAGTACTTTATTGAAGGATTAGGAAGAAGAGGAAGTGAAGAAAGCTGGCCAGCCTGGTTTCTAGTAATACCCTACCAGGCTCCACAACAATGCTGCATTTTTTGAGTGTGCTTTTCTTCTTTTAAAGAGCTAACAGATCCTTGCTTCGTTTGTTCTGGAGAAGAACAGGCAAAAAGCTGTTCTTAACATGCATCCTTCATCATCCTACAAGAGAGAAGGCCCATCTCCAACCCCTTAGGTTAAAAAGTCTAAAAATAAAAAACAAGAAAGCCAGGGCCTGAGCCTTCTCTTTCCTCTCCCCTCCTGTGCCCTTCACACAAGCACTACAAAATGCGCCTCTCAGCTGCCCTTTCCCCAGGGCTGGACAACTCCTCATGCCAATCCTGCTAACCTGGCTCACTGGGCACCTGCATCTGCCCACCTGCACTGCCCGGACTTGCTAAGTGTGAAGAATGAAGTTCTTTGGTGTCGCCCCATAGCCATCTGGGGACACACTGACTCTCAAATTACCCTGAGCAATCTTGAGACGTTTTTAATTACTCCCCAATTATCCATTAAATGACTCCTCACTTTCCAACACCACCTGCATGCCTCAGTTTGGGAAACTGGCATGTGCTCCTTCCTCGTGGCAGCTTCTCTCCTTGCCCTGGAAGGTAGTGGCTCCCTCAGCCTCCAACGGAATTCCTCAAATCCTTTGTCTGTGGCATGCTTGGGACACACATCACAGGCTGCCTTTGTATCTCAATCACTCTGCCTTGTTGCTCCTTGAAGCCTGTAAACTTCCGGAGGGCCTCCTCCAGGAGTCCTCCAGGATCTCACTGGGTAGCCTGGCTCCCTTCTCCAAGTCCTATGACTCACGGTACCTTTCTGGGGTCCCTGTCATTTCCACCTCACATTATAGTCATCAGAATCATCTACAGATTCGTCTCCGCTCTCCACTAAGTGCCCGTAGCAGGGGCTAGGTCTTACTCAACCCACATCCACCCCTCCCTCTACACAACACACCACCTGGTGAAGTCCTTGGCACAGAGAAGCCAGTTAAATACTTGCTCAATTACACATCTGTGTGCCCTCCCCCCACCCATATCAGCCTTGTATATAAATTGCCTAATATTAATTGAGTGAATGTCTAAACAGGTCCTCGGGCAGCCGCCCTCCCTTAAGAAAAAGAGAGTAAGCTATCAGGTGAGTTGATCAGACCCGACTCAGACAGTGGCGTAAGAAATGGCCACAATGTTGCACTGCACAAGAAGGAGCTAAGACTCTTCCCCTTCAACAGTTACTCTGAAGTCCTGCTAAGCCCAGAAAAGGGCGCAAGGAAGGGAGAAGCCACTGGGCCTTCTCAATGGCCGGGCGGAAGGAGACGCCCGCCCGTCTGCAGGATCTGGGACTTTCCAGGAACCTTCTCCCCACACCTCTGGGTGGGGCCGCAGGCAGCAGCCCCGGCACTCACCCTGCCCCCAACTTCAGGACTGCAAGGAAGCTTGTCCTAGAGGGTAGTCAGGTGGACACTGCGGTGCCCCGGGAGAGATTGGGAAAGAGGGAGGGGGGGTTGCCTGCAGTTCTGCCCTGGGAGTGGCTCCAGGACAGAATGAGGTGAGGACCCCAGCACAGGGAAGTGAGAAGTGTAGATAACCCCGCCTCTAGCCCAAACAGGAAAGATGCACTAGCACAGGCCTGGTCCTAAAGGCAGGTCTAGCCCCTCCCGCCCCTCGTCCAGGCGGGGCTGCCCTGGGTACGGTGGAATCAGGTGCACGCCTGGGCGGCCCAGGCTGCCGGCATTCCCAGGCCTTCCGCCCACGGGAAACAGAAGTCAAAGGTTGGGTGAGGGGTGACGGTCTCTACTGCCTCGCGGCCCGACGAACCTCGCCTGCTCCTGGTTCCCCACGCACTCACCGCACCTCTCCCCGCCCCCTCCTCGGCCCGACAGAGGGCAGCCGGGCGAATGAGGAAGTCGGCAGCGGAGGGCGGAAACCAAGCCGGGCGCAATGTCTGCGGCAAGACTGTCCGATTCTGACTCAGGAGGACGCCCTGACAGCTGACAAACGGTCCCCGATTGCCCGTTACCTCCATTTCCAAAATGCCTGGGAACTTACAAAGGATCTGCTGCCCGAGGTCCCCGACCTTATCCTCACGCCCCGCCTGAGTCTCAGGGACAGCGGCTCCCCGGAAGGGGTTAAAAAGTTTGCCCAACTCGGCCCTGGCAGAGGCGAGGGCGGAAGCGCGCCCCCGGCAGCAGGGGGAGGCCGGGCGCCCGGTGCCCCGTCCGCGGAATGCGCCCGGGCGCGGGCTGGGGGAGGGCGTCCGGGGAGCGCCGGGCCCCGAGGCGTCCTGTGCTCCCCGAGGCCGCTCCCAGCGGCCAACGCGGGGTACCGGGGACCCGGAGACCCTAGGGAGAGGATGCGGTGCTCGGGCCGCGGCCGCCCGCGCAGTGGCCAGCCGCGCCGAGGCCGGCAACCACACGTTGGCCCGCTGGCCCCAGATGCCGAGCGTCTGGTCGCCGCCCCTGTTGGCCCCGCCACCCGGGGCGGGACCCGCCGGTGGGGCTCGCTCACCTGAACCTGGATCTGCCCGGGGAACAGGCGCTGCTTCTCCCGAAAAGGCTTTCTCGAGTGCTCGGGTGGCGGCGGGGTGGGGCGAGCGTACGAGGCGGGAGCTGCAGCAGGTCAGGCTCGCTCAGCCTTCCGTGCCCTGCCCAGGAACCGCGGTGATCTGCGCGCCTCACCGCACCCAGCTCGGCTGCTCGCCGCCTTCCCGCCCCGCCCTACCAGAGGCGGGCAGGTTTCCAGTGCGGCACCGGCTCCGGGGCGGAGCTTAACAGGAACACCCGCCCACTGCCCTAATTCATCCAACCGTGCTCCCGTCTGGTCTTGACGGACAGACATATTAGCCTGTGCGAATGGGGGTAGGCGGAGCCCATGAGGCCAGAGGGGTGGGATTCATCTTCCCCACCCGCCCCCACCTCCACCCACCCCACCTTCCCCCGCGCTTCCTAGGCGGGAGCCCCGCCTCCCAGGGCGGATCCAACGGACAGCCAGGTTCCAAGACAAGGATTGACAGAGAGAGCGCCCAATCAGAAGCAGCCGGTTCAGGGGGTGGGCTCTGGGTTTGGTGCATTGCCTGGGCCTGAGCGAGGACGGGCGGGAGCGGACTGGGTAGGTCATTGGCTCTGACACTCCGCCCCGCGAGCTGTTTTCCTTAGGTCCTATCCTACTAGAAGAACAGATATCAAGCACCATATATGGGAAAAGTGGGTATTTTACATAATTATGGCTGTGGGGGCGGGCATGGCCTCAGCCCTGCATTCCTTGTAGGCGTCCTGAGTTCGATTTTGGACCCTGTCTGTAGAGCCCGCACGCGGTTCCGTCCCGCTAGAATGCGCTCTAAGCCGCGCTCTACCTCCGCGTGATTAACTCGCACACCAAAGATACTTGTTACAAAATATTCTTCTTTTTAGATAGGTAAATTACATTTATTTACTTAGGTTACTGTCCACTGTACAAGAAGATCTTTTTTCCATTTAAAAAAATTACATTTATCTTTCCATCCATCAGGAATTTGGGTTTTGGAGTGAACAAGAAATCTAAAAACTTTCACAAGACATAGTCTTTTCTCCACCGATTGTGGATACTACCTCATCTGTATTGAACTCTCACATACACTTGAACCTGTTTCTGGGTTGTATCCATTCATCCTTCCATGTGTTCCTGCGCCAGGTCCAATGCTTCACTGATGGTCCCTGTATAAGTATCTCTGTGAGGGCAAATTGCTCGTCATTACTCTTTACTATTGCAATGTTCTTGCTATCATGACTAAAGCTATCCTTCCAAATGAACTTCAGGAAATATTTCACTTCTAAGGGGGAAAACTAGAAAAAAAGATTTTACAGCTCAAGTGAAAAACAATTGCCATCAACAAATACATTAAAAAGTTGATAAGAAAATCCCAGTTAAGGGTGTGGTAGAGGGCCAGCCTAGAAAGTGGGAGGCTCTGCAGGTCCAGAGCCCAGCCTCGTAACACAACTTTTTGTGAGAACTAAGTCCTCCCAGGCCCCCTGAATTTTCCCCTTCCATCCTGTGTTTTTCATATTTTTTTATTTATATATTTTCTTCTATATTTTTCCTTGAACTAAGAAGCCCTCTCAGTTGCTATACAGCCTAACACTATCCTCCAAGAACCTGTGCCCTTACTAGTTTCTATTCCTGTAGCATTTTAGAAAAACCTTTCATCTGTTTTGTCTGAGTATTAAAATAATGTTATATTTGGTGTAGAAAATACTAAAAACAATTAAATTAAAATACAACTCAATATAACAACTAGAAACAAATCTTATTTCTTTCACACCTTTATGCATACACATGTTGAAAATAAAAATGAGAGACCCACACATATATATGGTCACCTGATTTATTACAGGTGTCACTGCAAATAAGTGGGGAAAAGATTATCTTTGTAATCAATTGCATATGGGGGGGCACACATGAGTCTTCACTCTTCATACCATTCATGCAAATAGTTTAGGATGAATCAGAGACCTAAAAGTGAAAAGTAAACAATAAAACTTCCAGAAGAAAGCATATGAGAATATTTTCCTGACCTTGAAGTAGGCAAAATTTCTTCTTTTTTTTTTTTTTTTTTATGGTGCCAAGATTTGAACCTAGGGCCTCGTGCTTGCTAGGCAGGCACTCCTTTCAAGCTACTCCACCAGTCCAAAAATTTCTTCAATGTGACACAAAAGTATAACCCATAAGAGAAGATTATTCAGTTGTGGTTTATTAAAATTGAACTGTTCATCAAAAGACACTTTTAAGAAGGTGAAAAAAATCAGACCATAAGCTGGGAGAATATTTACAATACATATGTCTAACAAAAGATGGGTAACCAAGCTGGGCACTGGTGGCTCAGGCCTGTAATCCTAGCTACTCAGAAGGCAAAAATCAGGTGGATTTCAGTTTGAAAGCCTGTGCAAATAGTTCGTGAGACCCTATCTCGAAAAAAATCCATAACAACAAAAGGCTGGTGGAGTGGCTCAAGGTGTAAGCACTGAGTTCCAACTCCAGTACCACAAAAAAAAAGGAGTGTACCCAGATTTATCAAGAACTTACATTAAGAAAACAGCAGTGCTGAGGGCAAGCTCAGTGGTCAAGCACTTCCCCAAGGCAGATGAAAAGGTATTCAACATCATTAATTATCTCAGTGCAAATGAAAACCTGAAAACCGCGATGGGATGCCAGTATTCCCCAGGTGGCTTGCTAAAATTCAAATGCCAACTGTTGGCGAGGATGGGGAGTAACTGCAACCTTGCAAATTGCTGTGGGAGTAGAAGTTTCTCCAACCACTTTGGGACAGTGTTGACTGTCCCTAGTATAGTTTAATGTACATGTATATCCCAAGAGTCAGCAATTCCACTCGTAAGTGTATACCCAACAGAAATGAGTATTTATGTCCAAAGGCTGTACCAAAATGTTCACAGCAGCTTAAAACAGTCAACAAGTAGGGGAAGAAAAGTCTAGCAATAGTGAAATGAGGTATGTTCACACAATGGATTACTACACACACATAAAAAGAAATTATCAATATTCCCTATCTCCATCCCCTACAGACTCTAGAAATGCCTCAGAGGAACTCAGCTTGTTTCTTGCTCCCCTGTGCTGATTGCTCCTTAGCCCAGTGGTCAGAGTGGACATTCAAGTGCAGGGTTCAGCTGCACGGTTCCTTCTGATTGGCTAGGACCTGAGCTACACCTACGGGTAAATATTTCAGGGGTGAGCATGGTGGTGCAACCCTGTAATCCCAGATATTTGGTAGGCAAGTTAGGACTGCCATATGAAACAGACCCGGGCAAAAGTACAAGACCCTACCCAAAAAATAAAAATTACAAAGAGTGTAGATGTGGCTCAAGTAGTAGAGAACTTGGCTAACAAGCACAGAGTCTTGAGTTCAATCCTTAGTACTGTTTAAAAAAATCCTAAACAAGCAAAAAGGACTGAGCGTGTACTGAGGTCCTGAGTTCAAACTCCAGTACTGCCAAAAAAATTTTTTTCCAATTCACTTCTACCAGAGTGCACATTTATTGTTTTACCATTTAGCAGGCACTGTACTGAGTTATTTTATTTAATCCTTTCCATGATACTAAGGTTACACACAAATGTTATCCCCATTCTCCAGATGAGGAAACGGAGGCTCAGCAAAGTCAAGTGACCCATCAGCTCAGGCCAAGTCTGTGAAGCTGACTGCCATGGGGCCCCCACAGTCAGCTCAACCATTAACATGAATTTACCCTCTTAGCCGTTCTTAACTGTGCACTTCAGTGGATTAAGTATATTTGCACTGTGCTTCTATCACCACCATCATCCACAGAGCTCTTTCATCTTGCAAAACTGAAACTCTGCACCCATTGAACAACCACCACCCACTATCTCCTCTCCGCCTGGCCACCATCATCCTGCTCTCTGTCTGTATGATTTCAACTATTCTAGATACTTCAAATGTGTGGAATAATACTGTATTTATCTTTTTTCGTGACAGACTTACTTCATAATGCTTTCAAGGTGCACCTATTTTGTCATATATGTCAGAATTACCTTCTTTTTAGGGCTGAGTAATATTCCATTGTTTGTGAATACTGCATTCCACTTATCCATTCACTCACTAATGGACAATTGTGTTGCTACTGGGATTTAGCTATTATGAAAAGTGCTGAACCTGGGTGTGCAAATATCTCTTGAAAACCCTATTTTAAATTCATTTGGATAGCCTGGCACCTTCTCATCTTAGCCACTTGGGAAGCTGAGCTAGGGATGATTTGGTTTAAGGTCAGACCAGGAGAATAAGTTTCTGAGACCCCATCTCAACCAATAGCTGGGTGCAGGTAGTGCACATCCATCATCCCAGCTATGGATCCAGGCCACCCTGGGCAAAAAAGCAAGGACCGATCTGAAAAATAACCAGAGAAAAAAGGGCTAGAGGTATGACTCAAGTGATAGAGCACTTGTCCAGCAAAAAAAAAAAAAAGATTAGTTTGGACATACACCCAGAAGTGGGACCATTGAATGCCACAGTGATTCTATTTGAAATTTTTTGAAGAATGGTCCTAGGGTTTTCCATACTGGTGGCACCATTTTACATTCTCACCAACTGTACACAATTTTTTCCACATCATAACTAACACTTGTTATTTTCTGGGAGATTGTAATCTTTTTTTATTTTTTACAGGAACCAGCCTAATGAGTGTAAACTGTTATATGTGGTTTTGAGTTTCAATACCCTAATAAATCATGATACTAAGCATCTTCTCAGCAGACCATCAGTGGCTCATGCCTGTAATCCCAGCTACTCAGGAGGCAGAGATCAAGAGGATCACAGTTCGAAGTCAGCCTGGGAAAATAGTTCATGAGACCCTATCTCAAAAAACCCAACACACACAAAAAAAAAGTGCTGGTGGGGTGGCTCAAGTTGTAGGCCCTGAGTTCAAACCCCAGTAGCACAAAAAAAGAAAGAAAGCATCTTCTCTTGAGGTATTAGCCATTTGTATCTCTTCTTTAGGAAATGTCAATCCTAGTCCTTTGCCCATTTTTTAATAGGTTGCTTGGGTTTAGTTGTTGAGTTGTGTAGTTCTCTACGTAAATACATTCTGTATATTTACCCTTTATCAGATATACGATTTGCAAGTATTTTCTCCTAGTCTGTGGGTGGCCTTCTATT